GCTGCGTGAGTGGGGTCCTTCATGATGCAGGTGGCCCCCTTTCTTCATGTGGAGGTGTAGATTTGAAAGTGACAAACACATTATCACACAGAATGTAAAAGATTCAAGAAATTAAAAAAGACAGATGCACATTTTGGGGTTGCCTGCATGGATAATAACATGGAGAAAGCAGAAGTGTTGATTTCAATAGCTGTAATATACCCAGAGTGTAGTTTGCAATTGTACCCTGCAAAATATTACAGTTGTCAAAATAAGACTGCATCAGCAATTGCTAAAATGTCAAACGAAATCAGGCTGAGGATAAAAAGTCCTGATTTGAGACATTTATTTACAGCAACAACTAGGAAACATATCGTAGAAATAGAAATGTCTCTGTCAGAACAGCTCAGCACAAATTTATATCTATTTGGCACATTTCTGGGAATCTACTGGAGACGTGGAGCATCTTCTAGCTTTTGATATTTTCATGTACAGTAGTTCCTCGCTACTTCGTGCTTCGTTTTTCACGGACTCGCTCTATCGCAGTTTTTCAAAGTAAGATTTGACATGACACACAATTGGCTGATTGATGGATGAGCCGCACCATAGACATGGGATTTTTTTTATTTAAAATAAATTATTTCAAATTATTTAGGACTTGCAGATGGCAGAGAGCTGAAATCATGACACGATGTGCTCTTTTAGAGCGTTTCGAGTTTAGAAACATTGTTTAGAATATTGCAAGAGTGTTGGAAGGGTTTTATACACCTTTATATATATATATATATATATATATATATATATATATATATATATATATATATATATATATATATATATACTTAAATAAACTACTACTTGTACTATTATTCCTACTTAGCATTTTTTCACTTATCACGGGGCTTCAGTGTACAGATCCCCCGCATTAAACGAGGGACTACTGTACAGGTTTTACAACAGTGGCTGACATTTTCCTGTCAACCGTATTTCTCCGGTAGATGTACATTTGGAAAGAGATACGGTGAAAGTTTAGGCTAAATCATGCTATTACACCCATAATTATGCAACAATCGAGCTGCCCGTTATTTCCTATGGCTGTCAGAAGTTGATTTGCTATAAGTCATTTAGCCTTTTTCAATCTCTTGGTGTCTACCTCAAACACACATTTACGGAATATATAAAAAGATTACCGGTAATCTTATGGCCACATTTCTATAGACTGTTGATTTAAACTGTTTATATCTTTAAGTGTCTGGTCAGCTTGATGTAGGGTATAGTCTTTTAAGAGCTGTACATACAAATAGTAGCCTAAAGATCTTTTCAGATTTAATTTTGATGAAAGCCAACATAAAAACTGATTTTTTTTTTTAAATTTCACACATCTAATCCTTGCCAACACCTTCTTCCCACACACACTTACACAGATGAAAAACACATGTCCATTTCCTATTGTCTGAACACATATGTCATGAAAATTGTTAAAAAGGATGTTCAGCTAGTCTGCTCTGTCCACTACCGTATTTGGAAAACACACGTTTACACACAAACACACACATTTTGTATATTTGTATTCAGCATGCATTATACATGAATAAACCCATGCACTCAAATCACAGGGACATCAGGGACAGCAGGTCCAGGTTCATGTTCTGTCAGCATCGTGTCAGAAGTACAGTATGTTCAATATGTTCAAAAAGAGTTTATGTTAGGGGGTCTTCTTCCTCTTAGGCTTATAACAGATTATCTTAGATGAACCTGTCAGACTGGAATCTGGCCTCGCACCATCAAGGAATCAGTTTCAGTGTTTGTTTTGTTGCTACACTTCATCCTACGGTTTACAGCTTTGAAATTAGTTTGCATGAAAAAGCTGAGATCTTATGGAACACATTATCATTTGTCATGTTTTATTCCCCTCAATATTGATGCACATTTTCTTTTCCTCTGTTCCTGAGATTTTTTCCAAGAACTCTTTGTTTCTGTCTTGGCTGAGAGCTGTGTCTGTTCTTTTCAGAGGATGAATAAATGAATGATCAAGGCTATTGTTTGGTTGTAAAAATTCACATGTATAATCTGAGGGTGATTCGATTTCCACATCACAGAGTCGCCCGTAATAGTTATTGGGTAAAGAAGATTTCTTGGTTAACGGAGATTGTTTGATGTAAGAATAATTTTCTCTTTTTTAAATTTCCTTAAATAAGAATTTATAATAATAACTGGAAAATATTGCATTTATAATGGAGTTGCTTTACTAAAAGGATTTTTGGATTACATTAAAGGAGTAACAGTTCAGTCAGGTTCACTAATGGCTATGAAAAGAAAACTTATTTTTGTTGCAAACATTTTATTTGCCTACAAAACAAACAGGAAAAAAAAATGGAAAATTAAAAATAAATTCTTGACTTCATTAAACGATACAAGCTTTCGTTCTTCTCCCCAGCAGTTTCTTTTTAGTAAAAGTTATATATGTTCCAGAGTTATGCAAAATGAAGAGACAAAAATAAAAAAAGTAATAAAAGTCAAAAGTAAAATTTCAAAAATTTAATAAAAACTTGATTTACTTTAGACAAAAACTAGACTTGTGCTGACGCTCGTCTCTGTATTTTATGACCAGCAGTCGTTCGTAATAAATTGTACATCTCTGGAAGACTAAGGGATCTTTGTACTGCTTCACTAACCGAGTTTAATAACTTACATTGTGCTGTATCATGTAGATGAGAAAAATCCTACTTATTTTACCTATCCATCCTTCTCTCCCTCTTTTTTGATTGTGCAAAGTATTTCTCTAATTCTCTTTTTTATTCAAACTTTCTTTTCTTCTTTGGTGTGAACTTCATTTTTGAGTGATCAATAATTTTTTTCTACATTTCTGTTCCTGTCCTCTTTTTCCTGTCTCTCTCGTACATGGTGAGCCTCTGCTTTTATCCTACACACACACACACACACACACACACACACACACACACTTGTGTGCATGTGCTGAGCGTTCATTAGAGAAGCTGTGAGGCCAGATCCACAAATCAAACTGTGTAAATAAGCAAGTTTTGTTCCTGCCAAGCCGTCGCTGCTGTTGCTATGCCTACCTGTTGCACATCTCAAGGGTTACCAAGGACAACCTTTAAGTGGGTGTCTGCATATGTATGTGTTTAGTTTTGTGTCTATGTGGCTGCAGGACAAGGAAAATGGGTTTCTACATATGACAGCTGACGATGACCAGAAGGAGTCTGTCTAATTCCTGGTGTTTATTCAATGCACAGCTTCGTGCTTATGGTGTTCTACTAGCAACATTGTGTAACTCATAACTTAAGTTCATCTAAACGCTGAAACTGACTGGTCTATAGCAAGCTCTTAACAAACACTTAACTCTGTAAAGTGTCTCTGTAATTTATAACCAAAAAAAAAAACCCTAACAAATTCAGTAGTTATATTAATCCTAACGACATTTTGCTTAATTACCGTAAGAGGAATAGATGTTTGGGCATAGCTTTGGTTTGACTCTGTTGACCGCCTGATCGTCTGTTTAAGGAGTAAATTTTTTGAGGCTTGGTATCATGTCTCAATGACTGGAATATGAAACTCTTCAAAGAGTTCCCCCCCCCCCCCCCCCCAAAAAAAAAAAAATTCTTAGAAAAACTGCTGCAGAATAAAGAGGTTTGTTTATCTGGTATTCATCTCAACAATGTACAGTATGGCCACATAGAAGCCCCTGAACCAGTGTAGAAGCTGCCCATTAGTCCTTTGTTAGCAGAGATGAGTGTGTGTGTGTGTGTGTGTGTGTGCGCGCGTGTGTGTGTGTGCGTGTGTGTAAACAGATAGACTAATGGGTCTGACTGAAGTCCAAACACAGGAACTTGCAGGTGATCAGTGTGGTTTACCTGTAAAGGGTGAAGTTGTATTTGTGCTGTGGATTGAAGTATATGTTGTACAGGGACTGATGTGTCAGCAGACTTTACACATACACGGGGCTTAATTTGAGCCATATCCTGCCGGAACAGGATCCAGGAACCCTTATTATGACAGGGTGCATTCCAGTAACTGTTTGCTTGGATCCGGTAACTCTCAGGCTTACTAATAATCAAGTTATGAACAAATATGACTGCCTTTAACGAATAAAACTTATATTGGATATGCAAACTGAAACTAATTACATAAACACTAATTTTAAACACAACAGCGATGCCTCCAGGGCGTACACCCAACATGCTCTGGCCTCGAGTCCGCCCAACCAGCTCCCTGCTCGGCTCTTGCTTCCCACACACCCCGCAGGACCTCCTGGTTCTTGGAGACCTCCAGAACCTCGACAGCCACTTACGAGCTTCTTAATATCACATACGTGCCCTTCAAGTAAGCATTTCCACTTCTACCCTTAAAAAAATTTCTGACCCTAAAAGTCCAAAGTTGTTGCGCAATTTTATTAAAAAAAACCCCTCAAAACTATAATTAAAGAGCATAACTAAATTACAAATCAGTTCGACAGTTCAAGTGGGTCATTAATAAAATTTTGATTATTAAAATTAACATTCACATTGCGTATCAAAACAATGGTGCTAATTTGTCAAAATAACAGCTAGGATGCTTGACAGAAGCTGAGTGTTTACAAATGTAGCTAAACATAGATGTTTAAGAACCTGTTAAAATTCACCAAAATGCAGGAAATCGCATCTACTTTATTCACAATTTTCTGGGGGAGGACACCCTGACCCCCCTGTCCCTTGCCCCCATCGATGGGCATCATTCCGGCATGGATCGGTTTACAAATTAAGCCCTGCACATACAGGTTAATTTTAGAAAAGAGCCACACATTTCATTGCGGGTTTAACATTTTATGATTGAAAGGAAACATCACTCTGATCTTTTTCTCATTTCTCCTTATGTCTTGTAATTTACTTGTATGCATGTGAGCGGTCTCTGATTTCCACTTATACTTTACAGTTTGGACTTTCACTTCCTTAAGATGGTTACAAATAATATAACATTTACGATTTGTTTTTGATGTCTCTCGTCTTATTTATTTGATCAAGCAGAGCGTCAGCTGGCGAACAGTATGACCAGCAGCAACTCTCTTTCTCCCAGTGTCAGTGGGATCAGCAAGGAGCTGGCGGAACTGCGACACCTCATTCAGTTCCCAGAGGAGATCGCCTGTATCCTTACTGAGCAAGAGCAGCAGCTTTACCAGCAGGTAAAAGTGTTATGTAATACACACGTTTCTGTGTCATCTTGTCATAAGTGACTGTCACTTGTTAAAGAATTACAAGACTTAACTAGAGAAATTGCATTTCCTGCAAAAATGCAGTGTGAATGCTTACTGCTGAAGAATTTGCAGAAAAATAGCTGAAATTAGATAAAAACGTTGATTTGTAGCTGAAATGGAAGAACAAGCCAAAATTAGCAGAAGAAAGAACACATCTTTGCTGAATTAGATTTAAATAAGCAAAAATGAGCACAAAAAATAGGGAATTGGCTAAAATGGCTGAAATTAGCAAAAAAACAACCAGCTGAAAAGTAGCTGAAAAGGCAGAAAAAGGCTTAAAAAACAGAAAGAAGCAGAAAGAGCTATGAAATGAGCTAAAAAATTTGAATTAGCTGAAAAAGCTAAAATTAGCATAAAACAGCTAAATAATAGCTGAAATAGCAGAAAATGCTAGCAGAAAAAAAGGTGAAATGAGCATAACAAACTGAAATTAGCAGAATGAAATTAATTAGGCTGAAAGTAGCAGAAATTACCACAAAAACATTAAATTTATCTGAAAACAGCTGAAATTATCTACAAAATGCTAAAAAGGTAGTTGGAAATATAAAACAAGCTTAAATTAGCAGAAGAAAGCAGAAATAACACGTTTGCTCAATTAGGCTGAAAGAAGCAGAAATAAGCACAAAAAGAGGAAATAATTGAAAAAAGCTGAAATTACAAAAAAAAAAAACTGCTGAAAAGTAGCTAAAAAGGCAGAAAAAAAGGTTAAATTACCAGAAGGAAGTGGAGAGAGCACATTTTTGCTGAATTAGGCTGAAAAAGTTTGAAAAGAGTGCAAAAAATGTAGAATTAGCTGAAAAAACTAAAATTAGCATAAAAACAGTTAAATAGTGGCTGAAATAGCAGGAAAAGCCGAATCTAGCAGAAATAAGCTGAAAGGAGCATAACAAGCTGAAATTAGCAGAAACAAGTTAGAAGAAGCACAAAAATCTTGTAATTAGCAGAATAAAGCTGAAAGGAGCACAAAACAGCTGAAAAAAAACCACAGTTGAAATTAGCTGAAAGTACAGTAGCTGAATAAAGTTTAAATTTGCACAAGGAAGCTGAAAGAAGCCGAACCAGAACAAAATATGAAAGGAGCAGTACAAGGTTGTAAACAGTTCTAAAGATTTGAAAGATGAGCTCAATTCTTTTTCTATGAGGAAAAAATGGCAGAAATGGCTAAATATCTGAAAAGGCTAAAGTTGCACCAATATACCAAAAGTCATTGCACCCTTCTGAATGAGGTGAACTTTTTGATTTATGATTTCTTGAAATAGCACAAAAAATATGGAACGAGAAAGGTGCTGAAAAACATATTGAAGAAAAATGGATTACAATAGTGTGAATGCTTCATAAACATTCACACTATTAAAAACATTAAGTAGCTTATGCAGCAATATATTTCACTGTGCATGTTAAAATGCGTCTTATTGAAAGAGTTAAAAGGATGAGAAACATCTAGAGGCAGTTACTATTTTTTTTCCTAATGTGTCTTTCTGCAGGTCTTTCCCTTGGACTACCTCTGTTTCCTCACTCGAGACTTGGGCAGTCCCGAGTGTCAAACGAAGCGCCACCCAAACCTCAAGTCCTCGCTGTCGGTGCCTGCCATGCCCACTCAGAGCGCTCAGCGGCGTAATGCTGTAGAGGACCTGGTGGCTCGGTTTAACGAGGTGAGGAGGCCTCTTCTTCAACCTATATCTGCCATTGATAGATCTTTATTTAGCCGTACCGAAAACAAGAGGTGAAACCTCTGCTTCTCATAGCCATAAAGGAGTTATTTTTAAATCCTGTCATCCTCAAACATGACTCTTTTTTTTTTTAAAGTTCATAAACCTGTTGGGATTTTATTAGCTATATGAAGTCACTGAAGCAACTTTGCACAGCTAGTTAATGTCTTTGACGTTGTTTTTTACAACATGATGTCAGTGTGGATAAGATTACTTAAAACACTGATATCCATCAAGAAACTATGTGGAAAACAATTATTTGAATCCTGAGTAGACTAAACAGCTTTTATTAAACAAATCTTTCTGGTGATCATTTTAATATTAATACAAAGCACTTATCAATTGTTAGCAAAATATTAATTACGAGAAAGCACTTGACTGTGCTCTTTAGTGATCTCTAACATCATCTGAGACGATGAAAGGGCGGGTTTTGTGTTGGATATTGATGTGAAAGGTTTAGTGGAAAAGCAGACCAGTATTTATGCTTTCCTCCAGCTGGAGTTTCCTTGTTGCTTTATCGTTCAAGTCCATCATTGGAACATATAATGCGTGTACACAAGGACTTACAAAAAGTGGCTAAAGTTACACTCCTGAGCCGTGCGTCTCCATGAAGTGAATTTAAGAATAAACAATTAGAACAATGCACCGCTGAGAAGGAGAAAGTGTTTGAAGGGGGGAGTGATTGATTGGGAACGATGAAGTCATCTTTAAGTTGCATGCCTTTAGCATCAGCTGGTTTTTATTCGAGTCGCTAAACATTTTTTTTTTCCCAAATGTTCAGCGTAGCCTTATATGGGCACAATGAAACCAGAGTCAAATGACGAGAGTGATTCTCCCCTGAAGACAGTGATGAAGGACTGAAGAGACTTGAAACTGGAAACTCTGACTGGATTATCGTGTTATGCTAAATATTAAATAGCATTCCAAACACATTGATAAAGTTTTGGTGAAAGTTGTAAATTGTCCTAATTGTTTAACTACTTAAAATAACTAATATTTTATTTGTTGCAACTCACAGCAAAGTCTGTTGCTTGTTTGATTACTAGGTAATCTGTACGCGTCTTCTCGAACACAGTATTTTTAGGGCGGTTGATCCTGAAAATGCATGAAAACAATTTACTGACATTTGCACAATAACAGGATTAAGTGATTGTAGTTTAGATATTAAGCAGATAAATTGCATTTCCTGCGAAGATGCAGAGTGAATGCTTACTGCTGAAGAATTTGCTGAAAAACAGCTGTAATTAGCTAAAAACATGCTGAAATGTAGCTGAAATGGAAGAACAAGCCTAAGTTAACAGAAGAAAGCAGAAAGAATAAATATTTGCTAAATTTGGTTTAAATAAGCAGAAACAAGCACAAAAATTAGTAAATTAGCTAAAAAAAAATGCTGAAATTAGCAAGAAATGGCTGAAAAGTAGTTGCAAAGGCAGAAAGACGCTTAAATTACCAGAATGAAGTGGGGAAAGTATAATTGTGCCCAGTTAGGGTAAAATAAGCAGAAATGAGCAAGAAAAGTGGAAATTATCTGAAACCCACCCTAGAAATTTACACACAAAAAACAGCTGAAATGTAGCTAAAAAAAAGGCGCAGAAAGAGGTTTAAATGACCAGAATGAAGTGGAGAGAGCACATTTTGGCTGAATTAGGCAGAATGAGTGCAAAAAAATCTGGAATTAGTTGAAAAAGTTCAAATTAGCCTAAAACAGCTAAATAGTAGCTGAAATAGCAGAATTAGTTGGAACTTGCAGAAATAAGCTGAAAGGAGCACAACATTGAAATTAGAAGAAAGAAGTTAGAAGAAACTTAAAAATGTTGTAGTTAGCGGAATAAAGCAGAACAGAACAGCTAAAAACAGTCTGAAATTAGCTGAAAGTAGTTTAATTTAATTGTTTTTGCACAAGGAAGCTGAAAGAAGCTTAACTGGAAGAATGTGAAAGGAGCAGTAAAGGGTTGTAAGCAGATCTGAAGATCAAGCTTCTAAAATGAGCCCAATTCATTTCCAAGGAGGGGAAAAAAGTGTCATAAAAGGCTAAATATTTCAAAAAGCTAAAGTTGCACCAGTACCAAAAGTCATAGCGCCCTTCTCTTGAACGAGCTAAACGTTTTGATATATTTCATTCAACCTTTATTTATACAGGTTAATTCCAGTGAGCCTCGGGAACTCATTTACAAGAGAGACCTGAAAATGAAGATACACGATTTGTTGAAATATTTTGAAAACCGCAGGACGAGAATCGTGCCGAAAAACTTACGGAAGCAAAGTGGATCACAATAGTGTGAACGCTTCATAATCATTCACACAACTAGATCGTCACCCTTGTTTAAATTCTCTAATAAGCAAATGTAACCTGATTTTTTAAAATCTCCCAAATGGTTTGATCCCATTCATCTTCAGACCATGTATGGGAATAAATGATTGTGCAGTTTTAAAAGATAGTCATTTTGTGTCTGTCTGAAGTGTTTAGCTTTGTCAGAACCAGTATGCGCTGCGTTGACTTTGTAATGGCTTCCTGTCAACGCCGATTATGTAATTTTTGTATGAAGGAGAAACTGACCTGCTGCCGCTAATAACAGATGGAAACAGACTGGCAGCAGGACAGACAGACAGACGGACATCAAAGGGGATCAAGTTGTACACAGCTCTTGCTCGATGTTCATTTGTGTTTGTGTGTATGAATACATCTAGATTCTGTTGACGAATGTGAGGCGGATGGTGTTTTACACAGTTTTGTCAGTTTCACTGAACTCCATTTTATCTCCTGCTGTTTGCTTCTTTTATTACACGTTCTTGCTTTTATATTCTCTCATATCCTGTTTAATATTTGACATATAAAATGTTGCACACACACTTTAGCTGTCTGGAATATCAGAGGGGTTGCCAGCTCAATACACTCCCTTGATCTGAGGTGGTTCAAAAGCCACGTTGCAGCCGATCAGAATGGTTTAGATGGTGACGGTAACCCAAGCTCCCCGCTGACATGGCATTGCATTACATCACTTTTAGAAGTAACTGGAAAAAAAGATTTTAATGCATAACATGCAGATCCTGCCTTGCACAGATCACAACAGTGAACAGATAAGAGTGCAACAGTTTGTGTTACAAGATTCTGAAACAAATTCTAAACCACAGACTTCATAACGCTTCAGCTGTAGAACGCTCCAGGATGGATTTAGAATGCAAAATAGTATTTCCTTTCAATAATCATAGTTGCTCAAACATGATGAAACATTTCTGAACGTGTGTCTTTGATATGTTGTTTTGTTTTAATTGTTCCCCATCACGGAGTGAAAAGAATGGAGGGGATTGGAAATGCTGGTACCCTCCATTCATGTATTTTTCTGTGCATGTTGTGTGTGTGATAACTTGAAAAACAAGTGAAGTACCGACTTCTATTTTGGTGTGTGGCTGAATAAAAAAGGTTCCTTTCAAAAAATGGGTTACCACTTCAAAATCCAAGATGGCCACCATCATATATACATTTGTAAACCGGCAACCCCAATCATTTGAGGAAACTATGCTTTCTAGTTTTAATATTGCTTAAAAGTATAGTTTCCTCACATGACTGGCTCCTCCATTGCACCTGGTTGTGGATAAAATTGCTCCCTCTTATCACTGGAATCCATCACTCTGCGCCGCCTCGGACAAGAAATAAAAAACTACCTCTCTTCTTGTACACAGTGCAACTTCTACACACATGAATAACTTGCACCAAAACGTTAAGGTTGACTTGCATTCACTGTTCAGTTCAAGTCCAGAAGAACATTCATCTTGAAAACTACAAACATTTACTATTCAATTCAGAATTGAATTCAAAATCTTACTAATAATCTACAAAGCCCTCAACAACTTAGATCCATTATATTACAGATCTTATTGTTCCATATTTTCCTAACAGAGCACTTCACTCTCAGACTACAGGCGTACTTGCGGTTCCTAGAGTTTCCAAAAGCAGAATGGGAGGAAGATCTTTCAGTTCTCAGGCTCCTCTCTTGTGGAACCAACTTCCAGTTTCTGTACGTGAGGCTGACACATTGTCCAGTTTTAAGACTGGGCTTAAGACTTTCGTTTTTAATAAATCCTATAGTTAGGGTTGGCTTGTTATGCTGCCATAGTAGGCTACTGGAGGAAAAACTGACCACATTTCTTAAAATTAATTGTTACAATTGAATAGTTTTCATTTGATATTATTTCTCGCTTAACATGTGATTCTCAACCTGCCATTGTGTATCTGTTCCTCCTTCCTGTTCCCCTCAAACCCAGCAAGTTGAAGCAGATGGCCGCTTGTCCTGAGTCTGGTTCAGCTGGAGGGGGAGTTTTTCCTTTCCACTGTTTCCTTCATGCTTGCTCAAGATGAGAGTCTGCAATGGAGTTAAACTCAAAGCAGTCTGCCCCTCAGATAATTAATGTTATTAACTTACTTTTATATATATGGATGTTTCTGTTCAGTGCCCTGAGATGACTTCTGTTGTGAATTGGCGCTATATAAATAAACTGATTTGAATTGAAATTCTTCAGTGACGAGGAACCTCGGCGTACTGCTTTGTATTATTGCATCATGAAAAACTTTAAACTGGATTGGTCTTTACACAAAGACATAAGACAAAAATATGTTTTGAGGTAACTGCATTCTAAAAATGATTTTTTAAAAATTGTTTAAATGTATACTTTTATAAATGTATATATTAAATATAAAAAGACAACACTGCTTTTGTGTAATCTGTTTCATGTCTTTGTGACATTTGAATCAGTTGAATTGGACCATTCTTTGAGATGGACTCTAATTGGGCGATATGAATGATTGTAATTTTTGGATTGTAATAAATTTAACCTTTTGGTCATAAAAATCCTAAAAATCAAGGTGTATAGTATGGATATTAAAACTTTTATGGCCATGATCAGATCCTAACCACAACACAAACAAATTGCACTGCTGTTGTTGGTTTGTTTACTCCAATCTCACGTTTATTAGGGTAAACGATGTCTTGAGTGTCTGCTTGTCTTGCACTAATTTACATAGAACAAAAGAAAAAGCATATTTTATCATCGTCTCCAAGTTTGTTTCTGTCCTTTGTTACGTGTATTTGAATGTGTGTGTTGGTGGCTTTATTTAGTCTTTGTGAATTCAGACTGTGGTAGGCTTTATAGGTCCTTACATAAGCCAGTAACAGATCTCTGGGCTGGGGGTGGGATGTTTTTACCACCTGCAATGAGGTTAGGGAGTTACAGTGTGAGCATGTTTCTATGTGTGTGACATTAATCGGGTTTTAATGCTTGGAGACAATGACACATGAGAGCAGGATCCTTTGGTGTTTGTGTGAATGTGTCCATCACAAAGAATATGAGGGTACGATGACCCTGATACATATCAGGTTTTGCCGCCGTCTCTTTACTCGAGGTTAGCCAGTGCAGATTATCGTCATCTGATCTCGGTCTGTAGTTGTGTGCGAGTCATGATCGTGTATGCGTACTTCCACTTTAGGTCTCCAACCAAGAATTCATGGACCACCATCAAGACCACACACACGATAAAACGTTTCAGCTGAACATACCGCGGCTGTGAATGTTGCCTCCTGATCTCTTAATACACCTAGTAACAACTTTGTGATAACACACAAACAAGGCAACAGATGGTTTAGTATTTATAACGTTTTTGTAAAATTCTGAACATGCAGGTGAGTTCCTGGGTGACATGGCTGGTCCTGACAGCAGGGTCCATGGAGGAGAAGCGAGATGTCTTCTCAAATCTCGTCCACGTTGCTAAATGCTGCTGGAACATGGGAAACTACAATGGCATCATGGAGTTCCTGGCTGGATTAAGGTTTGAAGAAGCAAATGGCTCAAATAGACTTCTTCTGCTTTTCCAGCTAACGTTTGAGGTTTTTCTCGTCCTGCAGGTCCCGTAAGGTGCTGAAGATGTGGCAGTTCATGGACCAGTCAGACATTGAGACCATGAGAAGTTTAAAGGATGCCATGGCCCAGCACGAATCGTCTTCCGAGTACAAGAAGGTTGTGACCAGAGCACTCAATATCCCAGGATGCAAGGTGAGTGTCTGGCTTTTCAGATGCATCCATCCATTATCTTCTGCTTGTTCTGAAGTCGGCTCGCGGGGGCAGCAGCTTGAGCAGGGAGGCCCTGACATTTCTGGGAGGATTCCAAGGCGTTCCCGGGCCAACCACGAGACATACTTCTTGTGAATGTACTTTGATTCTTTTTCCTCTTTTACATTATAGGTGGTGCCATTCTGTGGGGTTTTTCTTAAAGAGCTCAGTGATGTATTGGATGGCACTGCAAGCATCATCAGCCTAAAACAACCTCCAGACCATGGCGATGACTCAATAGAGGTACATCAAATTGCAACAATATAATTTCATAAACAAATATCACACCTTTTGATCCAACCCGATGTTTCATCTGCGTCTCCAGTTCGTCTCTGACTACAATGGCCAGCACAATTTCATGTCGCGAGCTGGTCCAGATGGGCTGCACATCCCAGAGAAGGAAGCTACTGTCAGTAACATCCTGCAAATTATCAGGTGTGTTGCGCCATTCAAACCAGATTTAGTAGATTAGTCAACTGTTATGTGCCAGAACTTGACACTGTTGTTTTTATTAATTTTCTGTTCTTCAAGTTGTATGTCTGGATTGTTTCTTCCTGCTCCTCAGATCTTGTAATCGTAGTTTGGAGTCTGAAGATCCAGATGAAGCGTCCACCAGTCCCTCTTCTACTTGTTCGTCCTTTGCATTCAGATGCAACTCCTTAAGGGACCGCTGCCGCAATCAGTTAGTTGACCTTTGCTACTTTTTGATAGGCTTTTTCATATTGTTTTGAGAATATCTTACTGTGAAAGTTCTGGTATCAGATGAATGAACTCATTAAATATTGGTGTTTTTATTTAGGAATATATTAGAAAAAATAACGTTCACAGGGTCACCTCAAGGATGGTTTTTATTAAAACAAAACAAAAAAAAACGTGTTTAAGCAACACGTCTATGCTTGACTTCTATCAGATCTTTCTGACGTTTTGACAAGAAAACAATTTTTTTATGTTGCCTTCCATTGTGCTAAAATTAATTCAACACTGTGGTCTTGTCAGACTTCATATACTGATGTTAAAATGTGAGGCATTTAAAAAAAATCTTTAAGTCAGGCTGTAAATTTTTATATTGTTTGGGGCTGACTCTTTGTGTTTTCAGATTTGAATTTCCTCCTTTCCTGTCCTGTCACAGACAATGACTCATTGGCAAAGTGGACAAAAGGCTGCATACAGATTTATATTAGAGCTATAAATACTATTTGCCTGGCAATTAAAAAAATAAATCTGAAAATATAATTAAATTAACTTAACGTATGCATTAAATTAAGATATTTAGCAATATATCTTTCAGGCCATATGTTTACAAAAGCCTCATTTGCATTTATTTCTTGATACTGAGACCCCAACCTGAGACAACAGGCAACATACCACATTTGCAGACTGCAAATGATGACCTGGTGTTCATTTAAAATCTTATGTCACAAAGAAAAAAAGACGACAGGCGTGTTTCCTGTCAGGACAGGAAGGAACAGAGCTCTGGTACATCTCATGTTGACAGAGGCAGGTAGCTAATAACACAAGCTGGGATTTGGAAAGTGCAGACAATGAATTTAATTGCAGTCTTGATTTGTTGCGTTTGTATAAAATGGACTGTTTTGTGAGTCTAACATTTTGTTTTAGGGTTCAGGTTAAGAACTTTCTTGGTTTTGGCTAGCTTGGCAGTTTTGACGAGTTTGGACTACAAAACATATAAATATCACCTCGTTCAAAGCAAATTTTTTTCTTGCAGTCTGGATTCTTTTGCCTCCGATGACTGTCCAAACCTTTTTTTTTCCTCCCTCACAGTTCCTCTTCAGCTTCTCTGTTGTCTTTTTTGTTGTAGTTCCCATTCATTTAGGACAACGCCAGAACCAGACCATATTTTGTAAGTGGTTGTACCAAAAAGAGATGCAAGCTTTTGAATAATGTTATTCACATAAATATGGATTCAGTTGCAGTTTGAGTTTAAGCTTTTTAAAAAGGGAAATTATATGCAATGACATTTGCATGCCTCTTTAATACCCGTCTAACTGTTGCTCACTGAGCAGAGTGTATTTTTGTTGGTTGACTGACTTCAAATGCAGCTAGCATCTTACTTGAGCATGGACTTCTTTTGGTTTTCTAGCATCTTACAGTTTTCATCTTACAAAGGAACCGCTTCTACTCTGAGGCTGTCAGATTCATGAATATCTAACCAGCATAATCACTGTGAAAAAAAATCACATCATGTTGCTGTTGATCTGTTTCTTGTTGATGTGTTCATTCGTACTCATCTTCTCACACACACTCATGTTTGTGCTGTTGTTCGGCATATTGTTTTTATGCTATTAGTGCTTAGCATATTTTTAATTAACATTTTTCTTAGTTCATATCTTAGATCTTAATACTGTTTTTCTTTTACATTTTATACTTTTGTTGGATGTAACTGGGACCCTGTGTACACAATTTCGTTCCACCGCATGCACCACATGTGGTACGAATGACAAATAAAGAAACTCTGACTTTTTGACAGTTATGGTCAGAAGTTTAAATACTCTCATCATGGGAACGATAATGCAACATACAAAAATATTTGAGAAATTAAGAATTCACCTGCCAGCGCTCTCGGCCACGTCCGCTGCAGAGCGGAGATCACATACTGCAGGAAGGAGCACCCACTGCACCTGTGGGCTGCACACAGGTGCTAATTAATTTTAAATAATTTATTTTAAATTTAAAAAATCCATGCCAATCTTGCGGCTCATCCATCAATCAGCCAATTGTGTGTCATGTCCAATCACACTTTGAAAAACAGCGAAAGAGAGAGTCGGCGAAAGTTGAACCGCGAAGTAGCGAGGGTCTACTGTATTCACTTAAATCTTTTAGTAGATGGCGCTGAAGGTTCTGGGATGTCTTTTTTAAACTTTATTATGATTTCTACTGTTGGTTATTTCCCACTTTTCTCACTTTTTTATTTGTTTGACAGTACTTCTTGACGTGTCTAATAGTCAGAACAATAGGAAAATACAGGGAACTCATGGAAGATGTAAGACAGAGAGAAAACTGGTTAGGATGTTCAGGAACAACCCAGGAACCACTGAATCTCAAGTCATGAACTGAAAACTGCTGGAACACCAGTGTTGCTGTCCACACTGAAGACATGACCATGGACTAAGAGGATGGTGACTAAGAAAGAAGCTCCTGCACCAAAAGTGACACTTTTAAGCCTAGCTGAAATATGCAGCTGCTTACATGGACAAAACAAACGCCTTCTAGAAAATAAAAATTGTCAGATGACGGCAAAGATTGAGTTGTTTTGCTACAAAATAACATATAAATAGTTGAAACTTTGACACATTTTGGTGTCTCAGCAGGACAATATTCCCAAGCACATGTCAAAACTAGCTTCTGATGAGTTAAAGCAAGGTAACATGTAGCATCTGGAATGGTTTTCCCAAAACCCAAACCTCAACCCTACTGAATCAATGTAATGTAATCAATGCACCCTGGAAAAAAAGAAAGTTTAAATAAGCCATCAATGCCCATGGTGAGTTTGTAAACTTCTGACTGCAACAAAATGTGTGACTGCACGTGTTTGCCGTCTATAGATAACAGTGTTACATTTTCTGAAGCAGTTGAAATTGGATGTAGGCACACTTAGATTCATCCTTTTGTGTATCTACAGATTCACAGCTGGGGATTTGTCCGACTCAGACGGTGACTTGTCGACTGAACCAGCTGTGAAAGACGTGGAGTTTCAGGGTACGGAGGAGACGCACCGAGCTTTCAGTCACGGCACAGAACTCATACCATGGTAGGAAAATAGTCCCTTAAAATATAAACAGCATTCACTGTAACAGGTATAAGACCAACATTATATTCTCTATTTTAGGTATGTTTTGTCGCTACAACCAGATGTTCATCAGTTTCTGCTGCAAGGGGCCACAGTCATTCATTATGAGCAGGACAGCCACCTCACGGCTCGGTGTCTGCTGCGACTACTGCCCGATAACATAACACTCACCTGGGGTAAATATACAGAACATTGCATGTATTCATCACGCTCGCATATTCATCGTTTGGTATTAAATTAAGTTTTAGAAATGAGAGAACAAGTGCTACTGCATTTAACTGGTGTTTTAAACATTATTGTTGTGGGTTTTAATTGCTTAATGGTTTAAATGTATATTTTCTATTGCATAGTGAGTTTAACTTGAAATATTTACATATAGTGGAAGATTTAGCTGAGTTTAAGATTAATATCCTGATGCATGCTCAATAATCCAGGTAGAAAAATCTAAAAAAGTTAAATCTGGTCCTCTGGACATTCAAAAAAAGCAAAACAAACAAACAAAAAGTTCAAGATGAACTTGAAATGATTTTAGGGAACATTTTCTTTGTTACATGTTGAACACAGTGAATAGTTTATAGTTCAAGCTCCATTTCCTGTCACTTTAATGTTCTTTCAACAAATAACAGACATTGATAATGTGAATAATATAATTTCCTGTCAATATGTTTTAAGCTGACTCTTCGTGTATTTATTGAACCTATTTATGCCCCACGATTTTTACAACGTAGGCAATTTCAATCGCTTGTAAATGTTTGCATCTGTGTTAGACTGTCTCAATTTCCTGTGTCTTTTACTACATTTTCAGCATATTGTAAGTGTTTTGATGTTTGGCAGGTAAGCCTCAAAGTGGAGGGGGTTCATCATCAGAGCATCCACTGGGATTAGGACAGAGTGTAGTGGCGGGTCTAGCAGAAGGCCTGTTGGACCTTGGAGTGGTGAAGGTTGGTTGAATATAGTGCTTTATTTTGGGTAACATTTACATTTTTTTATTATTATTAATAAAAAATAGAAGTAGTTTGTTTGAATCACATTTGACTGTTATGGATTATGTTTGTTTGCATATGCAGGCAGTATTTCTTGGTCATCAGGGTGTGGATGTGCATGCTGTATGTTTGCAAAACAAGCTGAGCCAATTGACAGTGGAGGACAATGGTCTGACACTCCTCTATGGACTGAGTACCACCGACAACAGGTTAGTCTCATTACCTTCTATTCACTTCTTTTACACTGCCCCATTACCATCCTGCCAAAACACCCAGCTATGTACTAAATATTTTAACTAATTTCCTAATTCATGCAATTAGACTTCTGCACTTTGTGGCCCCCAATCACACGGCACAGACGCTCTATAAGGGCCTTTCAGAGTTGGTGAATTCAACCAGGAAGCTGAAGAAGTTTCCAGACCAAAGGCTGCAATGGCTGAGGAGGCAGTACATCAGCTTGTATCAGGTAAACTCAGAAAACAATGAAGTTTCTTTAATAAAGATTCTAAAAAATGTCATTTTTTTCGATATGATACCCATGCTAAAAAAATACTAAGTTACTCACACCATAAGGACAAAGGATACCTTACATCTGCATTTTAAGCTGCTTCTAAAGCAACCCTTTAAACAGATGTTGTGTATGACATAATCAATTTGTATCTATTTATTTTGCTTTTCACTTCCTGTGGCAACCCCTGAAGAAGTGAACCGGCGTAGTTTAAAACAACAGAGTTTTAAATGAAGGACAGCCTTGAGCTAATTCATGCTCCTAAATTGTTTCTTCCTGTTGTGTGTTCAGGAGGACGGCAGGTACGAAGGTCCTACATTAGCTCAGGCCATTGAGCTGTTTGGTGGGCGGAGGTGGAACATGGGTACAGGGACTGCAGAGAAACCCAGTACCCAGAAAAACAGCCCCCTGAGCATCAACGATAAGTCCAAGAAGAAGAAGAAAGCCCTCGTTAGGGTCAGTAAATAAACGTGTGTCATGTAGAGTTTGTAAAAACTTAAAGGTAGTAATAATTTCACATGTCTGAACATTATAAAAAGGCTGTTTTGTGTTTTAATAATAAAAAGATTAGCATATTAGACTTGGTGAAACTATTCATACAGCAAATCTCTGGCACGTTTTGTTGTTGCACTTTTACACTATAGCTACTAATTCATGCAGAAGCACAATTCTCACCAGTGATAGCTGATCGTTACTTTCAACTTTTGTCTGCATAAAAACCACACAGGGGGACAGTGGAGATGCTACTGATGATGAGATGGTTTCCAGGAAAACTCGGAGCTGTAAGGAAGGTTTACTTCGAAATGGTCCAGAGTCTGACAGCGTCGACCAAGATGATCCAGGTGAAATCTTATTCAAGAGGCTAATTTCAGGGAAAGCTAAATAAGTAGGCATATAGTGGAAAAAGAAATATTGATGTACTCTAGAAGTTATATGGCTTTATGGTTAGATTTTATCTTTAAACCCAGTAAAGATGTTACATAACTGCATCAAACTAACATTTAAGTATTAAAAAGGTGAACCTTTTGTGTCTGCGATTTTGTCTGCGCCTCCATAGATGACAACTTCCCTGGACCGTTCTCTCTCTCATCCAATAAGAACGCAGGCTTATTAGCATCATCTTCTTCAGCATCCTCTACCTCCAGTATGACGGGATCCAACCACTCTCGCCCACAATCATCTCCAGTCCTTTCAGGATCCTCCAAGTCACAGCCAGCGTACGTGGAGAAACACTGCAAAAACACTAACACAATTCCCCTGACATATAATTCCAGCTTTTGAATTTTCTGTCTTTGTGAACTGCAGCGCGTGGAGCAGCAGATCGTGGCACGGCCGAGGTAAAGGCTGCTTCAGAGGCTTCCAGAATCTCATGATTTCTGACAGCACCATGAGCTTCATTGAGTTCGTTGAGCTTTTCAAGTCATTCAGGTGACATTTTATTCATGCATTGGATTAATTAGTATTTATAGTGTGTACATGTACATATTTTGTTCAGCTCTTTAAATGTCTCACTATTCTGTTATATACAGTCTTTTTCATATCAAAAGTACTTAAAGACTTGCTAAAGCAAATTCAACAAAGGCCTCTCATGGTTATATTGTTTAGAATATTTTCAGTTTTTTTTCTTTTTATAATATTTAGCTTGTCTATACTTTCTCTATCCAATGAACAACAAAAGCAGTTGTGCTTTAACAAGTGTTTCTCACTGTAGTCCTAAATTTGTTTGGAAAAATGATGAATTCTCTCATCTTGCTCCCATATTTTCAGAATTCTGCTTTTGCACAGCTGAAAGTACAAAGTTTATTAACTCCGGTGGATCGGTGTCACAAAAAATCAGTAACATAAAAATAAAAGAATAAAACGAAACAATCTTAAGACAGTCAAAGTGTTTCCTTGGAGGAATTTTTATTATGAATGTAAATATTTGACTTTTAAACAAATGCTATGTGTAGTGTTTCGGCACTGGTAAAAAGATATGCAAGACAGATTACTGATGAATGAAGTCTGCTTTTCTTTTAAAATGCATGTAGCGGCAGTAGATTTGTTAAGGTGCTCTGGTTTTAGTCAGAACCAGCTAGAAATAGAGAAATTACATTTCCTGCAAAAATAGAGTGTGAATGCTTATTGCAGAAGAACTTGCTGAAAAACAGCTGAACTTAGCTAAAAACCTGATGAAATGTTGCTGAAATGGAAAAACGAGCCCAACTTAACAGAAGAAAGCAGAAAAAACTCAAACTTGCTGAATTAGTAATGAGCACAATTATCAAATTAGCTAAACAAAGGGTGAAATTAGTGAGAAATAGCTGAAAAGTAGCTGAAAAGGCAGAAAGAAGCTTAAAATACCAGAAGGAAGCAGAACGAGTTGAAAATGGCTAACAAATGTGGAATTAGCTGAAAAAGCTGAAATTTGCATAAAAACAGCTGAACAGTAGCTGAAATAGCAGAAAAAGCCAAAGCTTGCAGAAGTAAGCTGAAAGAAGCATAACAAGCTGAAATTGGCAGAAATAAGTTAGAAGAAGCACAAAAATATTGTAGATGGCAAAAAGACTAAAAGGAGCACAAACTAAAACAGCTGAAATTAGCTGAAAGTAGCTGATTTTTTTTTTTAAACCTTTGCGCAAGGAAGCTGAACCAGAACAAAATATGAAAGGAGCAGTAAAAGATTTTAAACAGATCTAAAGATTTGAAGGATGTACAATTAGCTCAATTAATTTCTTATGGGGAAAGAAGTGTCAGAACAGGCTAAATATTTCAAAAAACTAAAGTTGTACCAATACCAAAAGTCATAGGCACCCTTCTCCTGAACGAGCTGAACGTTTTCATTTATGATTTATTGAAAAAGCACAAAAATTGTGGAACAAGAAAAAAATGTACGGAAGAAAAAAGGATCACAATAGTGTGAATGCTTCATAAGCTTCATAAGCATTCACACTGTTACCCAACCTCTACAGTTTGTTTTCTTGTAAACCTGCACCTGTGTCCAGTTTAGTATATCTGCATGCACACCTAAACTACATTACCAGTTTAAACCCAGCCTGAAAGTCAACCTTTTAGTTTGTCATCTTCAGAGTTGATTTGAATTCAGTTAATCTCTTTCTCAACAGCATCCGAAGCAGGAAGGACCTGAAAGAAATATTTGACACCTTCGCTGTACCCTGCAGTCGCTCAGGCCCAGAATCATCCCCTCTTTACACCAACCTCAGGATAGATGATAAAGACACAGGACTACAGCCAGATCTTGGTAAATCAGCTAATTCTTTGTCAAGGTGTTCAGAATCATGCTTACATATCATCTCTCTTAATCGCTCCACCTTCTCTTTAGACCTACTAACCCGTAATGGCTCCGACCTCGGCCTGTTTATACGGACGAGGCAGCAGATGTCTGACAACCAGAAGCAGATCTCAGATGCAATTGCAGCAGCCAGCATCGTGACCAATGGCACAGGGGTAGAGAACGCATCTCTAGGTGTCCTGGGATTGGCTATCCCTCAGCTCAACGACTTTTTAGTCAATTGTCAGAGAGAGCACCTCAGTTTCGATGAGATCCTCAGCATTATACAGGTAGGAGTTTGGAGGGTGATGGGTGACCAAAAGTACAAGGAGCTAAAGAATGTCTTGTTTAGAATAGAAAAAAAAAGAGAAAATACCAGATTTAATTGATGATTTTGCACTAAACTAATAAAGTACTTCACCTACTTGTAGTTTTCAGATTAACTGTGATTCACAAAAAAGGAAAATGATCACTTTTATCCACCATGTCAATAAATTGTCTTCTTTTGTAGAAATTTGAACCCTCGTCCACAATGAGACAAATGGGCTGGATGTCATTTGAGGGTTTTGCCAGGTATCGCATTTAAAAATAAAAATAAATTAATAACAGATTATTTCCAAACACCCTGCATACCAAAACATCAAACTGGCGTTTATGTGGCTTTTTGTGGAACACCTTGGTGTCTGCTTGCAGGTTCCTAATGGACAAGGATAACTTTGCCTCTCGTAATGAAGAATCTCAAATGAATCCAGACGAGCTGCAGTACCCTCTGTCATACTACTACGTTGAGTCTTCTCACAACACCTATCTGACCGGGCACCAGCTCAAAGGAGAGTCCTCTGTTGAGCTTTACAGTCATGTAAATAAGACAGTTATGCCTTTTTACTCCATTTTATTTTTAATCTTTTTGAAGTTACTATTTACTCATAAACCATTTTATATAGGTTCTGCTTCAGGGCTGTAGGAGTGTTGAGTTGGACTGCTGGGATGGAGATGACGGCATGCCAGTTATTTACCATGGGCATACACTCACCACTAAGATCCCCTTTAAGGTAAAAAATTTCTCATTTATAATTAATTTTGTTAAAAACAGTTCAGTTGCTAAAAAAAAAAAGGAAGAAAAAAACCTTTGTGCTCACCATATCTTCAAATACAATTTTACTGCTGTGTGATGTATTTTTGTAGAAAAATCCAGGCATGAATCTGAATTGTCTTAACACATGTGAAATGAGTTGGGGTCACCAGCTGGTTGCATTTCAGAATCCTTTTTTATTTTATTTTTATTATATGCAGTCTAGTTTTGGGACAAAGCTTGGATTTAATTAAAAACTGTAACTCAAAGGCAGTTTTAGTAGATCATCTGTATTGGTTTGACTGTCACATATTTGACTTTGAGTGCTTGTTTGTAAGTCTCTCTCCCCCCCCCCCCTCCTTTCTCTTGATCGTTCAGGATGTGGTGGAAGCAATTAACCGGTCTGCATTTGTCCATTCTGACATGCCAGTCATATTATCCATAGAGAACCACTGCTCTCTTCCACAGCAGCGGAAGATGGCTGAAATCTTCAAGGTACAACGGAAGCTACTTTTTTTTTTTTAATATGCATCTGTTTCAGGTGATTTAGATGCCTGATTAGTAAACAAATGCAAATAGGCGCAACATTTATAGAATTACTTGTAAACTAGCTTCACCTGCATCTTTCCACTGTTCCGTGTAAATAGTTAAAAGTACAGCGTGTATTTTCTGCACACGGGACTTAGCTTGTGACAACGCATCCTTCTACTCATTCCACACATTTATTCAGCTGTTCTGGTTGTTCGAACTGGCACACTTCCAGCCAAAAGTTTGGTTTTCTAATCTTCAGACAAGAACTGTCTGTTTCTTCGTCTTTTTTAAGCTCCACTTTATAATCAAGGCCACGCATGTCAAGGCAAGACAACTACATCATGGAATATCATCATGCTTTCATCTACAGAAACTTCCCAGCATCTCATCCTCCCCGGAGAGAGATTTCTGAGTATCTTGATAAATACAAGTCTTTTAAGTTCAGATGGCTCCATGCCCCCGGGCAGCTTACTTTACAGCAGTCTTGTTTATTTGAAGTGCTTTCAATTGATAAAGGCACTTTCTTTTTCTCTCATTGGGAATTCTCCTTCAGATTCAGAAATGAGCTTTCCCCCCTTTTTTTTTTTTGTCTTTCACGTGACATTCATCACTTGAATAGGTTTTACTCATGTCATCTGTTGTGTTTTTAGACGGTGTGCGGGGAGCGCCTGGTGACACGCTTCCTTTTTGAAAGCGACTTCAGCGATGACCCTCACCTGCCGTCGCCTCTACAGCTGCGTGGGAAGATCCTCCTCAAAAACAAGAAACTCAAAGCTCATCAAGCACCGGTGGACATCCTTAAACAGAAGGTTAGGAGGAAGCAAATCTGCTCCAAAAGCACAGTGTATCACCATGTGCATAATTTATGTCTTATAAGTCTCATCTGTAAAAGTGTAATGAATTATATATTTAGCTTTGTCGATCATTAAAGTGCTGTCAGACATAAATAATAGATGCAAATGTGTCTAAATGTACACCATTTTTACTAAGTAAAAACAATATTTGTCCATATACAGTGTGTGTATATATATATATATATATATATATATATATATATATATATATATATATATA